AACAAAAGAGAGGAAAAGCCTTTCTGAACTTTAGGAAAGAAGGAAAATCCAAACTTTTATGGATGACTGATGTTCCCTCCTTAAAATACTTACAAATATTTGGTTTATGACCAAGAGGTCAGGCACATTTCAGATATTTGTGGCCTCTGACTGCATCTGGGAGATGTTAATTTTGTCCTGTGGGCACAGAGTGTAATCTGCCTGCAAAACAAGTACAAAATCCAATCTAACACTCCCACCCGCACTTGATTTGCTGTTTGACACAAATGAGAGGCTTGGGAATACTTCCAACCCAGAGTAATAAACCCATTAAACCCTCAATAATAAACCTATTAAACCCCTAGTAATAAAAAAATCATGTTATCTGCCATGAGAACAATAATTCTCACCAACAGCATCATTTGGATCCTCCAGCACAATTCCTACCTTGAGCTGTGAGGTTTGCTGGAATACTGGGGGAGCTGTCCAAAATCAGGAGCTTGGTTGGTTTGGGTAGGGATTGTGGGGAACTTCTGCTCCTGAAGAAGAGAAATTCAAACTGAAGGAAGCTGGTTTTGTGGCAGAGTGGCCCCTAAGAAATGTTTCAGCCTGCAGGAAAGGGGGATACCCACCATGCTTGTCTCTGATTTGGAGACAAGTAGGAATAACTGTCTTGTTTTGCTGTTTTCCAGCTCAAACATTCCAGGCACAAATCCTCAATTAACCTGCCTAGATCCTGTCACCATCATGAGCAAGAGTTGAGGATATAATAGGAGGTTTCTTTTGCATAGGATGATAATGATATAATGAATATTGTTGACATTCAAGCCCTTGTCATTATATTTCAGAGTTAATGTTCCTTCAGAGGTGTCTTAGTCATTCCCATCTCCCAGGATTGTGTTTTCCTGCTGTTTGAGATGGAGAGAGATAATTTGTTACCCTGGAACACTGTTGGTTGCTATTCCTGAGGCTTTCCTGGTAATGTGGAAGCAGAGCTAGTAATACAAATCTGAATTTACCACATCAGGTAAAGGCTGTCACCTTGTAGGTGATGGCATCTCTAATAAATGTGGGATGTATTTTCTGGGAAATAAAGTAGTGAGTCATTTATATTCCCAGGTTTCCAGGTTTGTTTTATCATGCAGTACTTCATGAATTACAGATGGAAATAGGAGTCATCCTGGACATCTGAGGAGTCACCAGAATAACAGCAGTACTTGCTCTGTCTCTTTGGATGGACACATTTTTCTTGATTCTGGATGAAGACCAGGAGATGAATCCTGGGCTCCACAGTGTGGAGGGAGAGATGTTCCCCCTCTGTTCTGCTCAGGTGAGAGCCCACCTGGAATTCTGTGCACAGTTCTGGTGCCTCCAGAAGTACTCATGAAGTACTGCATGATAAAACATAGGAGGGACATGGAACTCTTGGAGCAGGTCCTGAGGAGGCCATGAAGATGCTGAGGGGACTGGAGCAGCTTCCCTCTGGAGCCAGGCTGGGAGAGCTGGGGCTGCTCAGCCTGGAGAAGGGAAGGGTGTGTGGAGACCTCACAGCTCCTTCCAGGGCCTGAAGGGATACAGGGAAGCTGGAGAGGGACCCTGCATCAGGAACTGGGGTGACAGGACACAGGGAATGGGTTCAGACTGCCAGAGGGCAGGGATAGGTGGGATATTGGGCAGGAATTGTTCCCTGGGAGGGTGGGCAGGCCCTGGCACAGGGTGCCCAGAGAAGCTGTGGCTGCCCCTGGATCCCTGGAAGTGTCCAAGGCCAGGTTGGACTTTGGGGCTTGGAGCAGCCTGGGATAGTGGAAGGTGTCCCTGCCCATGGCAGGAGTGGCACTGGATGAGCTTTAAGGTCCTTCCAACTCAAACCAGTCTGGGATTCTGGGATTCTATGAAATGGGTGAGGTAGAAATGGGCCAGCATTTGAGATGCATGAAGCAGAACTTTCTGAAAGCTCCCTATTTTCCATACCTGCTGTTCTCACACTTCCTGCCAAGTCTTGTACCTGTTGGTGACATATCTGGGGGTGAAATTTGGGTTAAAGTTGCCCATTTTGGTACAAAGTGATGACTGCAAAGAGGGACGGAGAGAGTGTCCACACCAACAACAAGTCCTTATCCAAGGAGCTGCTTCCCACTGGCTCTGAGAGGCTCTAGGAAATTAATTCCATGTTGGAACAGTTGTGGACCCTCAAGACAGGATTTTTGTAGGAAACAGATTAAACTCTTTTTCTTTCTTATCCATAAAGACAACATTATCTCTCTACAAGTTTAGTGAAAAAAATGATAATTCTTCATCAGTGTTATGGTGGTATAATCCAAATTATCCAGTCAGATAATTAGATTTAATGATGATGATTTGCTTGTTAATCTTTGTGGGAATATCTGTTTAATATCTTTATCAACGAGCTGAATGAGAGTGTGAAAAGCACCCTCAGTCAGTTTGTGAAGAACACCAAGGCAGGTGGGAGTGTGGATGTGCTGGAGGGCAGGAAGCTCTGCAGAGGCATCAGGACAGGCTGGATCCATGGGCTGAGGTTCAGCAAGGCCAAGTGCTGGGTCCTGCCCTGGGGTCACCCCAAGCCCTGCAGCTCCAGGCTGGGGCAGAGGGGCTGGAAAGGGCCCGTCAGGAGAGGCCCTGGGGGTGCTGTGCCAGCGGCTGGACAGGAGCACAGGGGTGCCCAGGGGTGCCTGGGCTGGCCCTGCTGAGGGACCTCCAGGGCTGGGTCCAGTTCTGGGCCCTGAGAGCCCTGGAGGGGCTGGAGCGTGTCCAGGGCAGGGAACGGAGCTGGGGAAGGGGCTGGAGCCCCAGGAGGGGCTGAGGGAGCTGGGAAAGGGGCTCAGCCTGGAGCAAAGGAGGCTCAGGGGAACCTTCTGGCTCTGCACAACTCCCTGACAGGAGGGGACAGCCAGGGAGGGTCGGGCTCTGCTGCCAGGGAACAGGGACAGGACAAGGGGAAACGGCCTCAAGCTGTGCCAGGGGAGGCTCAGCTTGGACACCAGGAGGAATTTCTCCATGGCAAGGGAGCTCAGGCCTTGGCAGGGGCTGCCCAGGGAGCTTTGGAGTCCCCATGCCTGGAGGTGTCCAGGGAAGGGCTGGACGTGGCACTCAGTGCTCTGGGCTGGGGACAAGGTGGGGATCAGGCACAGCTTGGACTCCATGGGCTGGGGGGGATTTTCCAGCCTCAATTATTTGGGGTTTTATGAATCAAATCAGTCCTCCAGAATGTGGCAAAGGTGTTTCTGCCTAAGGATGTGCACAAATGAGTTCACAACATTCACAGTCATGTTTTTAGGAACACAGTTGCAAAGCCTGCCTTATATCTAAAAGCAATTTTAATTTCTTTTCCTAAACAAATTTATCTATTCTAAAATATCCTTCCAAAGTAACCTGATACAAAAGTGTTGTCACACAAGAATTTTTTGTCACGGCTTCCAATTATGGGTGTATTTCAGACTACTCTTGGAGATTCCTAAGGGGCTTTTTGGTTTGTTTGGGTTTTTTTTTTTTTTTAGATCTGTTATTTCTACAAAGGAAATTAAATTGATTGGAAATTAAGCAAATCCAGCTGACAGATGTGGTTTAGAAGGATGCTATATACCTATGGACCAGTCAGAATGAAGTTGTAGCAAGCCCTCCTTAGCACATGGATGTAATGCGGGGAAGAAACACAGTGATTTTTTCCTTATTAGCAATTTTAATTAACTTTTAATTGATTTCTAGCAAGATAAATGGTTTCATTACCAAGCCTTACAATGAACACCGTCACTGGAATTAAGCATTCCCAGCAACTGTTCTGAAAACAAAACATGCAAATCTCTTATGATCTTCACAGATGTCATTCATAAAGGCAAATAAATGAGAATAGCTTGCTCACAGAGTGCCCTTTGTTTAATTTACATAACCTTCATCATGCCCTAATTTAATTAAGAGGAGACAAAATAACAGGTCAGCATTTCAACGTGAGAGCTCTATGAGAACCTATTAATTTTGTCCATCCCTATAATTATGTGATCACAAGGATTATTTGGCTGTCACTGAAATCTGAGGCTTGGTTCAGTATGTGAACCAACTAAAGAAATCACGATGGTTTTCTGTGGCAATCAGCAGCCTGTTATGAGCATGGAAGAATAAGAATGAAATGTGATAATATTTGGGTGAGAAGAACAGGATGAACAAAACAGAAATTTAAGTTCTTCAGAGAGCAGCAATGAAAATATCACTGAGTGTGACAAATGTGTTAAGTTGAAAGAAACTTTCTAACTGATGTGTCCCTTCTGTCTGTCTGTATTGATCCTTCATCTAAATTCATATTCCATAAGGATTTGGGCAGCAATGAAACAGTACATCAGTGTTAAATAAAAATTCCTCTTAGACACCACCCAATCCTGAAGATCCTTCAGCATCAGAATTGTCTGAGGGCTTGGCTTCACAAGCATCAAATTCATTTCATGTTGAAGTTCAGAGAATCATAGGATAGAATCCCAGAATCCTTTAGGCTGGAAAAACTTACAGGATTGAGTCCAGCCTGTGTCTGATCCCAGCCCAGAGCACTGAGTGCCACGTCCAGCCCTTCCCTGGACACCTCCAGGCATGGGGACTCCAAAGCTCCCTGGGCAGCCCCTGCCAAGGCCTGAGCTCCCTTGCCATGGAGAAATTCCTCCTGGTGTCCAAGCTGAGCCTCCCCTGGCACAGCTTGAGGCCGTTTCCCCTTGTCCTGTCAGAAGTTTCCAAGGCTGAGCAACTAAATGTGCCTTTTCTCCTGAAGAAATCCAGCTGGGATCCAGTTAGCCTGGCTTCTGTCACTGAGAATGGAGCCATTTGTTTCTGTGGGATGTTTTATCTTCAGTCAAAGCTCAGAGAGAGGCAAGCTGCCCCTAACAAGCTCTCCTGGACACCACAGGAGAGCTTCCTGAGAGGCAGAATCCTTCCCTGCCTCACCTGGTTTCTCTCCTCTGGTTGTCTCCCTTGGGGGTTTGCAATTTGTGCATTAACCCATGGTTTTTCTGATGTCTCTTCAGGCTACAGATGCAGATGCTGGGGTCAATGGGCAAGTCCATTACAGCCTGGCAAATTTCAACAACCTTTTCCGGATCACCTCCAACGGCAGCATTTACACAGCAGTGAAACTGAACAGGGAGGTGAGGGATTACTACGAGCTCATCGTGGAGGCGACAGACGGAGCTGTGGACCCCCGGCGCTCCACGCTCACCTTGGCCATCAAGGTGCTGGATATTGATGACAACAGCCCTGTGTTTACCAATGCCTCCTACACTGTCTGCGTGCCAGAAAATCTCCCACCAGGAACTGTCTTCCTGCAGCTGGAGGTAAGGAAGCATCGGTGAGTGAAGGTGGTGTGTGTTTGTTCTGCGATATTCAGGGTTCTTACTCAACTTGGCAGTGAGACTGCAATAAAGGATTGTGAACTGGAGCGTGGGGGCAAGCTTTTTTGCCCAGAGAAGCTGTGGCTGCCCCTGGATCCCTGGAAGTGTCCAAGGCCAGGTTGGACTTCGGGGCTTGGAGCAGCCTGGGATAGTGGAAGGTGTCCCTGCCCATGGCAGGGGGTGGCACTGGCTGGGCTTTGATGTCCCTTTCAACCCAAACCCTTCTGGGATTCTGTGAATCTGAAAAATGCTTGGCCTTTAGCCAGATACCAAAAAAACCCTTTAAAGATAAGGTTATTTAGGAAATAATAGCAATTAATAAAAACAAACAAACAACGAAACAGCAAAACCTACACTGCCACTGTTTAGATAGGCAGACAGTGATAGGCCGAGGGGAAGAGTTTTAAACTAAAAGAGGAGAGATATAAATCAGATGTTCAGGAGGAATTTTTCCCTGGAGGGTGGTGGGGGGCTGACACAGGTTGACCAGAGAAGCTGTGGATCCCTGGAAATGTCCAAGGCTGGATGGGGCTTGGAGCAGCCTGGGATGGTGGAAGGTGTCCCTGCCCATGGCAGGGGTGGCACTGGATGGTTTTAAGGTCCCTTCCAGCCCAAACCATTCTGGGATTCTGTGATCCTGACAGTCACCAATAGGAGGTGCCGAGGGAGGAGAACTAAGGGCAGATTGAGTTTCCACTGCCATTTCCCCAGAACACTGTGCTTGTTTCCCATGGCTCAAATCTTCAGTGAATTTCATTCCTTGTGTCTGTGCACATTTAATACAATTACAACAGCACAACTAAACTCAAGATGTTTCCAACAGCTTGCCCTTTAAATCTCAGAGGAATATTTTGTGAGAATGGGTTTTATTTGATGTCCCTCTGCTCCCTGCAGGCCAAAGACGTGGACCTGGGTGCTGATGTGAACTATAGGATCCGCACTGAGGAAGCCCAGGAGTATTTTGCCCTGGACAAGCACACAGGAGAGCTGTCGCTGCGGAAGTCCTTGGATTATGAGTCCTTCTCTGACACAGAAGCAATCTTCACCTTCCTCGTGGAAGCCTTCGACAGCAAGGGCACGATGCCTCCTGGGCTGGCCACTGTCACCGTCAGAGTCAAGGTAAAGGGGTCACTCCTCAGCCAAAAACATCCTGTCCCAGTCTTGCCAGAATATTCCATCACCATGCAGGTGTCCTTAGGAAACACCAGCACTCTCTGCTCTCCTGCATCTCACTTGTAGCAGTCTTGTTCTGCCAGCAGTTTGTTCAGTTAAACACACACTTTGCAACAGCTGTAATTATTTTCCCATGTGCAATTATGTAGTTAAATCCTGGATTTATGAAATCAAAGAACACCTGACACAAATACAGACATTTTGTCCTTTAGAATCCCTAAAAGGCTGAAATAAACCCCTCATGGAATTGTTTGCAAAAGTGACACTGAGACACAATCACTTTCCAGCCCACAAATTGTAATTTTAAGACCAACTGGGGTGTACTGAGTGCTGGTGTGGCACAGTACATCCTGGATTCCAGATTCTGCTGCTGGAAAATCCAACTCTGCAAAGAAACAGCCTGATTTAGTGCCTAGTGCACCATGAATTGCAGTGAGCTACAGCCTCGCCTCAGGATTTCAGTGGCCTCCCCAGGAATATGGGGGTGCTGGTGTCTGTTTGGGGATGATCCACAAATGATAAGTGTTTGTAGCTGAGACAGCAGCACTTCCCCATCTTCATTTGCCTGTGTCCAAGAGGAGAGGAGAGCTCAGATGCCTTCATCCTGCCCCTGGCATTCCCAAAGGTGCAGCTCTGTCAGTCATTCTGTCCTTTTGAGCAAATGCTTCAGCAGTTGTGGGAGAGAAGAGACTTAAATTGCTCAGATTTCAGTGAAGGAGCAAAAATTGCAGGAAGACCAAAAGCACAGCTCACAAACATTCAGTTTAAATGTGTCTGTGAAAAGTATTCATCAGTCTGGGGTTCAGCCTATTCTGTATCTGCAGGTGCTTGGATTGCCACATGGTTTTGAGTAATTTTGTTTGTCAGTCTCTACTAAGCTCACAATTCTTTTAGGACAGTAAATGTCTCCCCTTATTAGCTTTGGTGATAATGCCAGAAGGCTTCTCTGATGCCTCTCTGTCTGCAAAATGTCTCAGTGTGAGGTGCAGGTCACCTGTTCCTGGATAATCTGTGCTTTTCCCCAGCACATTCCACATCGTTCACAGGAAGCACCTTTTCCATCATTCCCTGAGTTTCTTCTGTTGGACTTTTACAGAGCAAACTGCTCAAACCTCAGGTTTTTTCCTAAAAGAAACCTTTTCCCAGCACACTGAATTTTTGAAAGAGTAGTTTGGGTAGGTTTGTTGGGGTTTTTTAAAGGTTTTCAGGTAGGATTGTGTTCAGAGAAAAGCTGTTGTCTGTTTGAGCTCTCCTGGAAATTCTTCCCACACACGAGCAGCAAAATGGGAGCGTGATGATGTTTTGGAGAGGCTGGAATAGCAAGCTGGAGCCAGAACTAACAATTTTGGAGTAAAAGTGTGTTTGGCTGTGGGCAGAACAGGGCCTGGGCGGGAGGACAAGCAAGGGATACTTCTAGTGAGAAAGAAAATAAGTCCAATTTAAAGTGAGTGTTTTCATACTCAGTGACAGGCTGAGTTTTGCAATAGATCAGGGAACATAATCAAATATTATTTAAGTGCCGAGATGAAGATGGTGCTTAGATTCCAGCCTGGAGTGAGAGGTAGGACAGAGAACAGAGGAGGACTTTCAGAAAAAACAGAGTTAATATCTCAATGTGTTGGGCAGATGTCATTAGGAGGTCTTATGTCAGGTGGCAGGTATTTTGAACACTGGTCACAAGAGGTTTCTGGATGGTTTAATTTGTGCTTAAAGATGAACTTCCAGATACAAAAATCACAGGGGTGGGGGGAGAGGGTGGAGGGTGAAGGCAGAACCCTGCGCTGCCATCCCTGTTTTGGATGGGAAGGGTCCTCAAGACACCTCAGAAGGCTGATCCAAGGGTCAGAGCAGCAGCAGCAGGGTGCAGAGTCTTGAAACCAAGTGAAAACAAGAACAGGTCACCTTTTCCTCCCACTCAGCACCTCCTGCTCCTGCTGCAGGAACTGGATGTGTTTCCTCTGAGTAGTTCCTGAGCTTTCCCTTTATTTAGAGGCTGGGCTCTGAGTAATTACTTTAATACAGGGTTTGAGTGCCCAAATAGGAACTAAACCAAGTGCAAATGCCCCACAGTCCCCAATGTAACACAAAATTGATCTAGGGGGGAAGCAGAGGCAGTGCTCAAGGGGCCAAGCTCATGTCACCATCACAGATCCAGCCCCTCCAACCTTCAGAACTTTATTTGTGTTATTACTGAGGTCTCCAGCCCTCTGGGGCTCCCACTGCTCCACTCACATTTGTCATTTCTCCCAGCCCAGCTCTTCACTGCAAGCTGTAATTTTTCCTGGGTAATGGAATTCTGTTAAGCAGCTATGGATGTCTGATGGTGTTGTCCATCATTTGTGTGATATCCAGCAGAATGAGCACACCCAGAGCCCCCTGCTCCCTGTGGCTGCAGGAGGGGGATGCACAATGGGCTGTTCTTTGGACTCCCAGCCCTTGGCATGACAAGTTACAAATAGTTTGTATTAACCTGCCCTGAACTAGGTCGAGGAACAGATTGCAGAGCAGGGCTTTCACTGCAGGAGGAATAACTTCATCTGTACCCTCATGTCAGGATGAAACAAGTTATTGGCCTCTGCCGCAGCCAAAAGGTTCTTTGCATTGTGAGGACATCCTAGGACTCCCTTGGCACAAAAAGCCAAAGGTAAATCAATGAATTCATAGAATCATTTAATTGGAAGTGACCTCTGAGATCACTGAGTAAACCATTAACCCTGCACCACTAAACTGTGTCCCCAGGTGCCACATTCACACATCTTCTGAGAACTTCCACCTCTGTCTGGGCAGCCCCTTCCAATATCTGGCCACCCTTTGGGTGAAGAAATCTTTCCTAATATCCAACCTGAACCTCCCCTGGCACAGCTTGAAGTTGTTTCCTTCTGTCCTGTCGTTCCCTGGGAGAAGAACCCGACCCCCACCTGACTCCAGCCCCTCTCAGGGAGTCACAGAACAATAACTATTGCATCCATTTAAGTATTTCCTAGGAGGAGTAGTCTTTAAGTAGCACTGATTTCTTACCACCACCTCCAACACACCAAGATTTTTCTCTTTTCCCTGTTCTCAGATTTCTTTGACTGCTTTCTTAACTTCTTCTCCCCTGAAGCTGCAAGAAGCCATGGGGTGTCTGAAAGGGCTGAGTTTGTTTTGCTTCTTGCTGTACCCACACACATCCCCTCACAATCCAGATGATTCCCAGTACTGGAAAAAGCAAAATCCTTGCAGTTCAAATTATTAGGATTTAGCTTTTGGAAGCAACTACTGTGGTAATAGGGTTTGTTAACAGAAACAGTTGCTCTTACTTGAGTAATGTGTTGCTTAACACAAATAATGAGAATTTATGTATCATGGGGCCTGTAAGGCCTCTGCATATTTTATGTTGTTTCCTCCTCTTCTTATTACCAGCATTATTTTTGTATTATTTTTCCTCTTTCTACTTTGTAGAAATGCTTTTCTCTTCTTTCTGGGTTGGGGATTGGTTTGCTTTGGAGTTTTCCCAGGACACTGTGTAGTGGAATGAAGCCATTGTCTCATGTAAAGGATTCAAAGTGAATGAGAAACAAGAATAAATAAAAAGAGGGTTTCAGTTCTAACAATGCCAAAAAAATGAGTATGAGGGGCAGTGAGGTGACTGAGAACTGGATGATCACAGGGGTCATGATCATAGTCACAGGGTATGGTTGGTGGCTGTCACTGGGGGTGTCCCCAGGGCTCAGTACTGGGCCCAGGGTCATTTAAACTGTTCATTAATGACTGGGGAGGAGCAGCCCCAGGGACCAGCACAGGCTGGAGGGACCTGCTGGAGCAGCTCTGTGGGGAAGGACCTGGGGGACACGGAGCTGTCCCTGAGGCAGCAGAGTGTCCTGGGGGTGCTGGGGGACACGGAGCTGTCCCTGAGGCAGCAGAGTGTCCTGGGGCCAAGGAGGCCAATGGCATCCTGGGGGCAGCAGGAAGAGCCACACAGTGAACATCTTCTCCCATTTAAAGAACAGAGCAGCATCACAAAACTTACAGGAAGGTTTAAAAAATAATCAGCTGGATTGCCTCCAAAACATTTCTCATTTCTGGTGACACTAATGGAATAACAGGCCTGAATTTGGGCTACAATGCTGGCAAACAGATTTATTTCTTCTTTCCATCTCAACTGATCAGTCAATTATCTGCCAGTCATTAATTGTCTCGTATATTCCATCATGAATATTATCCCTTAATTTATAGGATGAGCTACTTTAGGGCCTCCTGAGCACTAAATGGGAAGGAGATGCAGTTGTGCCATGTGAACAAGGTCCTGTTCTGTGCAGCTTCAGACAAAGCCCTGTGTAAAGCAGCTCTGCACCCACTCAGACAAAATTCAAGGGGCCACTTTGGCCAAATCAGCATCATCACAAGGGTTTGAACTTGCTGTTATTGAATTGTGTTCATTAGGAGAGGCCAAGAGAATACAGAAGGATGGAAAGGGACTTGAAGTTCTTGATACTCCAGTATCTGGTGGACTCAGGTATTTCATGGGATCCCAGAATGGTTTGGGTTGGAAAGGACCTTAAAACTCATCTGGTTCCACCCCTTGCCATGTGCAGGGACACCTTCCACTATCCCAGGCTGCTCCAAGCTCCATCCAGCCTGGCCTTGGGCACTTCCAGGGATCCAGGGGCAGCCACAGCTGCTCTGGGCACCCTGTGCCAGGGCCTGCCCACCCTGCCAGGGAACAATTCCTTCCCAATATCCCATCCATCCCTGCCCTCTGTCATTTTAAAGCCATTCCCCTTGTCCTGTCCCTCCAGGCCCTTATAAATTATCTCTCTCCAAGGTCCTCAATCCAATCACTGCTATCAAAGGGAATTCAGTGATGGACAGATGCAGAGATGGAGTTTTCAGCTTTTCAGCACAGAGGGACTCTGGATAACAAATATTTGGAGCAAGTCCTGGGCTTTGTTCTGAGCAGAGACCAAAGCCCCAGGCATATTTTGCTTGTAAACAGGTAAATAATTGAAGATTACATCTGATGGTTTCTTAAAATACCTCTAACCCTTGAACAGAAGGGAATGCAGCACATGAGTGCAATCCCCAAGCACAGGCTCAGCAATGGGGCAGTAAACCTTCCTCAAAGTGGTTGTAAGAAGTCATGAAATCACCTTTTAAATCTGAGGCATAATCCCACAAGTGGGGCCAAACTGCAGCATCTTAAAACCATCCCCAGTTAATGGATTCTCCATATTTCTCACTTTCAAATACATGGGCTGCCTATTTTGACAGTAAGATAATAACAGCCACATATTTACAGATAACTATATACCAGTCTTTGTGTCATTATTATCTGGCTGCAGATTTATTCTATTTTTATACAGATTTATTTACAAAACAGAGCGAAAGGCAAAGCATAACACCCCCAAAGCTGTCACCCTACCATAGATACTCTTTATCTACCACTTTTTATTGGTTTTCTTCCTCCTTGCTCCCATGGGGCAGCACAAAAGCACCACAGAATCATGACATCCCTCCCCTGAACAAAGATCAAAGATGAAGCACAAAAAAAAGCACAGCTTGGGAGATATTTGGTTTAATTTTAGTGTTCTTGAGAATCCACATTTGCACCTTCAAAAGCAAGTTAAGACCTATGAAAGGATTTCTTATGCCAGCTCAATAACTCTGCTGTCACTCTCAGAATGTGCACGAATCCACTTCCCCTCCTTATTCAAATTCCTTATTTTCTGAGCAGGACACATCTCATTCCCAAGACTTACATAGGGCTGTTATTTAGGAAAAAGATAGGAAAGAAATACAGCTCTGTCTGCAAGGAGTATGAAAAATGCTGAACAAAAATGTTGGGAAGTGAGACTGTCATCTGGGAATGCCAAAGAGGAGAAACAAAGCAGGAGGGGAGGGAAGGCACTAAGGAGGAAATCAATATGTAATTTAAAACTCATTTAAAACTCACAGTCACTTGCTGTAATGCACTGATACTAAGCCAGGTGCTCCCAGGCTGGTGGGGACAGGCCAAACACAGCTAGAGCAGGAGGTGCAGCATTCCTGGCACAAAATAGCCTCAGGAATGTCACTGTACACAGGGACAGCTGAGGTTTTATTGGTTTATGGGGAAACCAGGGAACCTTTCATGCTTGTGCCCCACTAAGTTAAAAATGTAAATATTTAATACCTGGGTGTTAAACCCTCTCTTTACTGCTCTGGGGAAAACACTCCTAGGATTCGAATCTCTGCCCCCAGATTCCCACAGAATCATGGAACGTATGGTGTTGGAAGGGACATTAAAGCCCATCCCCTTCCACCCCTGTCCATGTCACCTTCCACTGGACCCAGTGACATCTCCCAGTTAATAAAACACAGCATTAAATGAGTGACAGACTGGTCTGATTTGAATATACCACAAACCTAAAGACGTTCTAGAAAAGAATAAGCGTTAATTGGAAAAAGTGTTTCGGTAGACGTCTTGTTTTTTAAAAGGAAAAATAAAAAACAGAGTTTATTTTTAAGTTCCACACAAAGAGAAGCAACTCTGAATGATCCTGCAAATTATTTCAGATATGTTTAGGTGTATATGCAAATATATATACATATATTTATGTGTCCCTGCCTATCTCAGGCACAAGAATTTGTGCAAATGCCTTTTTGTCTTACAAAAGACATTTTATTTCCTCTTAATTTATTAGAGGTAACAAATACTATCAAGCCAGAGCAGCTCATTCCTTTTGGAAAATGAGCCAAGTCTGCTGCTGCAGGAGCAGGTGATATGGAATTCTCTGCTCTGTTCTCTCGTGGGGCTGTGTTTTCCTGCAGGAGTCCCTTCAGCTGGGCAGTCCCACATCCATTTTTTGGTGAATCTTCCGCACCTTCCCCCCTCATTTTGTGCAGGGGTAATGGAATAGTGAGGGCAAGGGAATGGCCATCCCTATGGAGGAATGGAGTGACTCGACAAAAACATTTGTGAATGCATCTGGCATTTTGTTGGGACTCCAGGGCTAAACTGTGAATTCTGTTTTTTGCAGGATATGAACGATTACTCGCCAGTGTTCAGCCAGAAGCTCTACAGGGGAATGGTTGCTCCTGACGCAGCCAAGGGCACTGTTATCACCACGGTCTCAGCTGAGGATGAGGATCCCCCGGTAAGGAAAAACTTCTCTTAATATTCCACACCCATGAGGGAGGAAACTCCAGCCCTCCAAAGTTCCCCCACTCTCTCATGGTCTCAGACTGTGAGGAGCTTCACAGAGGAGTAATTCCTGCATTTGTTTCATGTCAGCCTGGCTTTGCTATTCAGGACAGGCTGCATTTCCAAGGCTGCCTCCTGGAGCTGGAAAATCAATGCTACAGCTCCTGTCTGTTAGGGAGGCTTTAGGAAAGCTCTTTATCCAGCTTCAGAGGATGAGAGGAATAGGCAGGAAGGGGAGCTGTGCCTTTCTTTGGGGTAGTTCAAGAGGAAAGAAACCACAGTTTTGTGAGGTTTTGATGTCACAGTCACTGTGCACTTCCCAGCTGAGCCATCCCAGATTGATGTGAGACTGCAGAGCTGCACATTCCAGGGCAATGTTTGAACCCAGGACACCTGCTTTGGGGATAAAGTTTATTTTTGTCCCCGTTGTTTTTTGCTGCTCCCCAGTGAAGCCCTGGAGTGACAGAACTGGGCACACACCCCTGACTCATTGCCTGCTCTGGAGTTTGATGTCAATTTTTGTCATCAGTGCCTGATGAGCATCAGTGACCAGATGATCCTCTGAGGACAGGAAAAGCCAGAGCTGGTCTGCCAGCCAGGTTTAATTTTTAATTGCCGGTGTTTGGCATAAGAAGGAGAATAATCCTCAGAGGAAAGAGTTCAGGGGGAATGTGCCATGCACATTAAAAGCTGATGAAGTGCTTGGACACAAATCATGTACAGCTTAGCTAAATGTAGTGTGATTGGGGTTTGGGCAGCTCTTATTTAACATTAAATAAATGTTGTTGCCTTACTATGAGGTATTTTGTGCTCTCTTTACCCATTCTGATAAAAGCTCCATTTTATAATCGCCGTGTCTAAGTTTTGAAGACTAAGAGATCACTGAGGGGAAACAAAATGGTTCTGATTGAGTACATTTATAATCCTTAGTCCTGTGCAATCAGCGTTTCCAGTGCAAAGTTATTTCATTTTTCATTTAACAACCCCAAACCCTACTGAACAGTTTGTAATGTTTTTGTCGCCATCACATAAACACCTGTTGATGTTTATGGAGATTTAGAAATGAAGTTACCCTGAAGCCTCTAATAAATGCAGGGGCCATAAAAGTCATCCAGCTGTGGAGGAAAGCTTTTAAAGGAGGTTTTGAAAGGGGGTTTTATTTTAAAATAATGGCTGGTAGTTTTGTCCCTCATCTTTTTTATTTTAAAAGTAAAACTACCAGGCATAAATGGCTGTGTTTCTTTTTCTGCCTGAGCCAGCCTGTGCTACTGGAAAATCTCTCTTTATTTGAAGCTGGCTTTGACATTAAATGGTGTCACAAATTATTTGATATGAATTCACTGGAAATTTGGTTTAAAAGCACACAACCTTTTCTATGCTCAGCAAGGGGACCTTGCTCTAAACTTGCCTTAAGGGATGGAATATTCTTAGTTATCACCAGTATTTTACTTGTGTGGTTTGGGGGTTTTAAACCTGTTGGAATCTTATTTGCAAGGTAGTAATACACTTATTTTATCAGTTCAGGGAAAGAAATCTGTTAAAATAATAATTGTTGCTTTAAAATATGCCTGTTTATATGAGACCAATATGAAATTTCCAAGCTTAACTTTTCCTGTTGTTATTTTGCAAGTAACACATGTAATTCCCATATCCAGAATAAAAGATCAGCCAGATTTTTCCATCATCTGCAATAAAAGCTTTTCAGACCTAATCAGCTCCTCAGAGACAAGCATTGTTTTCAACAAATCCCAACGTTGTCAGATTAATATGGATGTTGTGAGGATCCAGCTGGATCCACACAGAACCTGTGTGGGATTTCTCTACAGATAAAGAAAATTTGAATTTTTCCAGGAGCAGAAGAACAGATCTGGGGGAAGGAGGAGGAGGAGGTGGGAATGGTGTCAGTGGAGGTGGGCTCTCCATTTCAAATAACAAGTATTAATTTAGGTGAAACACCAAAGGGTGAAAGATACCTGGGACATCATTGTGTATTTCCTAAATTATTTAGGAATTTATAGCATATATGGGTAAAAGCAAGCTTTTACTATTAAATAAATCCAACAGAAATTTATTTATTGGAGATGGAGATGAAAATGTCTCTTGGTTTTATTTTAAAAAAAAAATCCTCCCGTCAAACCTTCACACAAGGAGTTATTTACAACTCTGTGTATCTTCCATAGGAATGTGTATCCTCATGGACAAATCTGAGGGTGAAAATACCTTAGTCCACCATTAGAATGTACCATTGATAAGAGGATGGGTTTTGCTGCAAAAACCCCAGAGATTTCTAATTTTTGCAAAGAGTTGCTCAGTTAAAACAGAAACAATTTGTGCCAGAGACAAGCACTTCCTCAGAGATTCTTTGTAATGCTTTTATTTTGACCTGTGGGTTTCAAAGTGGTCAAAACCTCCTGGCCTGAAGACATCAGAGACCTCTGATAGTTATTCTACCAATCCTTGGTGAAATGTCAATTAAAACATAAAACCCAGAGCTTTTCTCTAAAGGCCACAGCAAGATTTGCAGGGCTGTTTTGAGTAAATGTCACTTTAAATTCTTACCAGTTGCTCCTTTCTTTTCTAGTTTTAATTCTCTTTTTATTTGCAGTGACTGAGAACATAAATTATGTTTTAATAGCTACTTTTGCATGTGTTATAAATCTGAAATACCCTTCTGGTCATTGAAATCTGGGAAGTTTTGCCTGAATATTTTGTTTTCACAAAATCTGGTAAATTAACATTTTGTCCTTTGGTTGTTTGGAACGAACTACAGCAGATTTTTCTACATTTTTAAAGTAGTAACAATTTACATAAATACATAAATAATTTTTCAAATTACTTGGTTCATCTTAAAGTTGCTCACCCTGCCTTTCCCAGAGGAGTTTCTACCTGATTCCAGGTATAAGCAGGAAATATTAAACAATAAGCAACAAAACCAGGCCAGAGGGAATGATGTGTCTAAAACAGAGCCATGACTGCTAAGGAAAACTTGGGAACAGCTTAAATTCTTTCTAAATAACTGATAAACCTTATAAGAATAAAAATTCTTGATTTTAAGCACATTGCAACTCAAATTGTTAAGGCAGCCAAGCACTTTTTCCATGTGAACAATCCCTTTAATTGTGAGTTCTCCCTCACGCATCAGCTTGAGCTTCCATTCCAGAGGTGGTGTCCAGCTGCAGCTTAGGGAAGTTTCCATTTATTGGGGTATTTTAGTCCCTTGGAGTAGGTGAGTTTAGGCTGTTGGATACTGTGACCAGGACAACTGGTGAGCCCTGTGCAGGGAAGCTCTGCCTCCAAAACACCCCTGGAATTCCAGGTGAGCAGGAGCACCCTAAGAGCCTTGGCTGGATTTGTGCTCCCAGAGCAATTCCCAGCTGGCTTTGTCCAGCTGCCCACAATGGGAACAGAAGTGGAACAAAACTAAGACAGAGAGAGCTGTGGGAGGGGCTGAAATGAGGTGAGCTTCAAGGTCACCATCCCAGAGTGCTCCAAAGTCCAACCTGGCCTTGGGCACTTCCAGGGATCCAGGGGCAGCCACAGCTGCTCTGGGCACCCTGTGCCAGGGCCTGCCCACCCTCCCAGGGAACAATTCCTTCCCAATATCCCATCCATCCCTGATCTCTGGCACTGGGAAGCCATTCCCTGTGTCCTGTCCCTCCATCCCTTGTACAGAATCTCTCTCCATCTTTCTTGTCAGCCCCTTCAGGCCCTGGAAGGCCACAATTTGGTCACCCCAAAGCTTCTCCTCTCCAGGCTGAACAATCCCAGCTGTGCCAGCCTTTCCTCCCAGCAGAGCTGCTCCATCCCTCTGATCATCCTGGTGCCTCCCAGGACTCTCTCCAGCAGTTCCATGACCTCCTTATGTTGGAGGCACCAGAACTGTGCACCGAATTCCAGGTGGGAGCCCACCTGAGCAGAGTAAAAGGGGAGAAGCACCTCTATGAAAATATTTCCTTTCAAGTCCTGCTTTGCTTCAGTTAAGACAAATGTGTTCAGATTTGGGTTCTCTTAGTTATTTCCCAGCCTTTTCAGGGAAAGATTCCAAAGGTTGGACAAAGCCAGTAGCTGGCTCAATCACCTGCCATCACTTCTGGATATTGCTGGCACAGTCTGCAGTCTCCCAGCCAGCACCTATTGCTGCCATCTCCTTTATGGGCATTTAGATCATCCTTTGTAGCTGAAGAAATCATCAGCCTGGATTAGTGTTGGATAAATCCTTTGGAGACAAGGAGAGTTTTCTTCCTGGTGAACATTTTACGCACCACTGAAGTGGCCTGGTAATGAGAGATGAAGAAGTGCTTCTGAGTGGTCTCAAAGCTCTTAATCCTCCTAAAATGTGGGCAGGAGAGCACCAGGAGTTGTTTGATAAATGCTCAGTTTATTTGTCAGAGGTGATTCCCAGAACTGACATAAAAAGAAGTGTTTGTTTTTCCTGTACATCCCTTTTCTGATATGGGTTATCACTGTAAGAGCTGGGATACTTCTGCTATGGGCAATTCCCCTCCATATCCTGCCTTTTTTTTTAATTTGAAATGTTAATAGAAACAGAACACTAATTTTAACGAGCAGCCAGTTTCCAGAGCTCCAGAAAGTCCCATTTAATGCTTTTTCTGTTCTCCTAACACCTCCTAAGGTTTTCTTTCAGTGGAGCTCTTTTGTCAAATTGTGAGTAATTGTCCTTATTGTCTTCCATGCACTCACTTAAAATAAGAGGCTATGAGATATTTAATTAAAGATTTCACTGCATTTTAATTAGAGGTAAAACCATTTTCAGGTGGGCCAGACCTTGATCTTTTAAAAGCTCTTCATGTGGAATTTCAGTGGCTACTGGAGATTACAATATGGGACACATGCTGCAAATTCCAGGAGTAGTTCGAGTAATTTTAACTCAAGGCTTTAAAAGTTGATGGGGTTTTTTGTGTTCAGCTTGTGAGAGTTAAAGTTCAGAATTTCCAGCTTTAGCAATTCAGAATATCAGGCCCTCTTGTTGAGTTACCTGCTAAAGAGTAAAATCCTTCAAATTTTAGGGTTTATATGAATGAAATTAGGGTGAATTTACACAAGTGCACCATTCACAACCCTGAGCAGGTGTAAGATCCACCAAATTCATCCACCTGCTCTTGGCTGTCCCATCTCCCATGGCTGCTTTGAGTAAGTTACAAAAACCTGTTTTGTAATTTGGGGGGTTTAGCCCCACTCTCGAATTTTTTTAATTGAACTAGATTTAGAAAACTTTCCTTACTGAGCTCCTTATTATACAAATGATTCAGACTTGAGCTGAAATCTATATATAAAGATAATATATGGAGAGGGATCTGGGAAATAACCCTGTCTTCATGATGCTGCCATTCCATACTGGTCCTTAAGGGTGAAATCCAGGCACACCTGGGATCTTCACCTGTCACCTTCAAATGAAAGTGAAATCCATTCTTCCACATTCTCTCCTGGGCCAAGAAATTCTGGGGTTTTCAGTCTGTTACCAGTTTGAATCCCAGAGTGGTTTGGGTTGGGAGGGTCCTTTAACCCCATCCAGTGCCACCCCCTGCCATGGGCAGGGACACCTTCCACTGGTGCTTCAAGCCCCAAAGTCCAGCCTGGCCTTGGGCACTTCCAGGGATCCAGGGGCAGCCCCAGCTGCTCTGGGCACCCTGTGCCAGGGCCTGCCCACCCTCCCAGGGAACAATTCCTTCCCAGTATCCCATCCATCCCTGCCCTCTGGCACTGGGAAGCCATTCCCTGTGTCCTGTCCCTCCATCCCTTGTCCCCAGTCCCTCTCCAGCTCTCCTGGAGCCCCTTTAGGCACCGGACAAAGCTGTAAGGTCTCCCTGGAGCCTTCTCTTCTCGAGGCTGGAGATTCCCAGTTCTCCCCTCCTGTCTTCCTAGCAGAGGTGCTCCATCCTTCCTCTCCTGAATAATGGAAGTAACAATTCCTGGCTTCCTCTTGAGTTGCTTGCAGAAAAACGCATTAAAACCCCCAACAAATGTGGTGTTTCCCTTTTCCCCATTTTTCCTGGCCTCATTCCATTACAGTTTTCCTGCTGGGAGCTATCTGGACAGTGCACCTGTGTGTCATGCAAGGCCACTTTTCCACGGGCAGCTTCACCAATACTGGGGACATGCTTGTAGCTGTCAGCTGTGTCAGAAATAAATGGCATTCCCCCTGAGCAAATGGAATCTTACAGAATTATGCAGCCATGGAAGAAGTAATTGGATCTGGATGAGGTTTTTTTTTTAAGTTTCATGTTAGTCCTGAGTCTCAGGGAAACTTTAGTTGGAGAGAATGAATGTGGTTCCTGCCAAGCACAATCCTTGCTCTGTGGTTTATTTGGGAATATTATCAGCTAGATTCAAGTTTTGCTGCAGACATAATAATGCATCTAAATTAATTTAGAACAGAGGCGAAAGATGATTAATATTTCAGATAATTAAAACTCGCTTCTAAATAGATTTCCCTGGGAAATCTCTCTGGAGATTTTTCTAATTATATCAGTGCCAAAATACTATAAATAAAAAATAAATCCCAGTTTTGTTATTTTTCTGAAGTGACAGGAGCAAAGTGTACTTGATAATCACATCAGGAGCAACAAAAATGTGATGATATTTTTGTTTAGTTAATCACAAATTACCTGGTGTGGGGAGCTTTAATGATGATGAGGACTCTTTGTCTTCCAAGGAAGTTTAAGGCCATTACTCCCAGCCCAAATAGGCTGGATTTCAGCAGGTAATTTGCTCTTAATTATAACATTGAAGAAAAATGACTGAAGCAGAGAACGCCGGGGGAAAGTTGATAATGAACTCTGCTATGCCGTGATCCCAGAATTTTCTCACTTTTTCCAGGATTTGCCCTCTTTAGCATGTGTGAAGTGCTTTTAACTATGAACACAATCATTTATTAATTTGCTAACCACTCAAACATGCTTGGCAGACCCAGTTGGGATGATTAAATCTGCTGATGGCCACATAAACCCTGCCCAGGCTGGAATTCCTTGGAGAGCTCTAAGAGGCAGTATTCAAATGTCTTTTGTTGGATCAGCAAAACACTGATAGCATTTAGTGAGCTCAAACCACTTTTGCAGCCATTTCCACTGCTGTTTACAAAAGGAAATGCTCTGTTTTCATGTAGTTCGTGGCTGGCATGGGACATGGAATATATTCCCAATCCCAACAAAGCACATTACTGAATACAGGTGAAAATCAACACTCCACCATTAATGATGTTTTGGCTGTTTAAACACAATATAAAGGTCAAAGCCTGATCTGAGATCAAGACTCGGAGGCTTTCAGAAATTAAATCATGCTGTTGCTAGGGCAAAAGTGTTTCTCTGAATCCATTCCCAAATATATTTAGCAAAATAATTTAGTTGGAATTTTGTAAAATGTCACAAATCTCTGTATGTCCGGATTTTTACATGCTGGAAAATCATTATTCAGACATTAGTGTGCAAAGAGGGTTGGAGGGAATCTGTCCTACCCCTGGATGAGGAGGCAGATGAGAAATCCTAAAGGTAGCTGGGTGAAGCTACCCCGTTGCAAACCTTGGTTCTCATGAGGGACTTCAACCTACCAGGTGTCTGCTGGTAAAAAAAACCCTGCAGAGACAAAACCCTACAGGAGATGCAGAGAGGAAATATCCAGGAGGTCCAGTTCCCTGGAGTGTGTGGAAAGAAAAGGGCCAAAGCCCAGCTATAACTTCTCTGGCTACAGCCATAAAAGAGAATAAAAAATGTTTCCATAAATGTATCAGCAACAAGAAGTGGTTTAAGGACAATCATCACTTACTGGATGCCAGCAGGCCCAGGGCAGAGCCTGTCCACCTGTGCTGGCACCTCAAATCCTAGAGTCTGTTCTGGGTCTTCCTGGCCAGAGAGCCCTGGAGGGGCTGGAGCGTGTCCAGGGCAGGGAACGGAGCTGGGGAAGGGGCTGGAGCCCCAGGAGCAGCTGAGGGAGCTGGGAAAGGGGCTCAGCCTGGAGCAAAGGAGGCTCTTGGCAGGGGCTGCCCAGGGAGCTTTGGAAGTGTTCAATAAAGATGTGGCTGGTGGCACTTGGGGACATGAGTCAGGGCTGGCCCTGGGAGCACTGGGCTAATGGCTGGACTCAGTGACCCCTGAGGTATTTTCAATAATGGTATCATTGGAAAATAATGGATACCCTAAGAAACAACATCCTTCCAGTAATTGTTATTTTTTAGGTAGGTGGTAAAACTGTTCAATGGGTAAGTAGCCTTCAATTAGAAAATGCTGAGATACTGATGGGAGAAATTCCTCGCTTCAACCCTCTGGCAATGCTGCTTCTGATCCCCCTTTTGCTTTGGTGTTTCAGACAGTGTGTGACACACCCAGGGGCTGCCTGAGCTCAGTCCTTGTCACCAAAGCCGGGTCTGAGCTTTTGGGGAGGGCTCCTTTTGGGACTGCTTAAAATCCATCTGCAAAACAACATTTTCTTTAACCACTGATAAGTTTCTTAAACTTTAAATTAGTTTTATCCTAGTCAAAATATATTTGGAAGGTATTTTAACCAGCCTTAAGCCATGCCCATCTTCTGTTTGAAAATTTCAGTTTTTATAAAAAATTTCTGGGTTTAAGTAGGTGGGGATTCGGCCCTTTTCTTTCCAAACCTCTGGTGATTTTTCTTCCTGGACCTCTCAGGTGTCATGGAAGGCTTTTGGGGGGAATTGAATGGGTTGCTCAGGTTTGAGGAAGACAAACAGCAAGTTTTGCTTGTGATGGCCTTACCAGTGTTGCATTTTAATCCTTCAGGAGGTGTGTAAAAATCCAAAAATACCCAATTTGTCTCTTTCTGCATTCCAGGGCACCCCAGCAAGTTGGGTCCGCTACAAGGTGGATGTTGTCCAGTTTCCCTACAGTGCCAGTATTTTTGATGTGGAGGAAACCTCTGGACGTGTCGTCACCCGAGTGAACCTCAATGAAGAGCCCAGCACAGTGTTCAAGGTACAAATTCAGCTGCAATGCCATAAAATGTTCCCTGAGCTTGCAGAGATTCCTTTTTGCTGTCATGGTTCTCCTTTTTTTTTTTTTCCTGTTTCTCCTCTTGCATAGAAAGATCCCAGAATCCATTAAGGTTGAAAAAGACCTCAAAGATCAAGCGCAACCTTTCATTGGGTTTCTGTGCAACATTTCAATGTTTGTTTTCTGTTTGTTCCTTTGCTTCCCTCTTTTTCTCCTGGTGTATGTGTTTTGTGCCATTGTGATTTCAGGAATGTCATGGATGGATGTAGTTGCACCTGTTGGAAGGGTGGGGAAACCAGGGAGGAAGCTTGGGGAACCCTCATTTTTCCAAGTTCACCTTCAACGGGGCTTTTGGGGAGAATCTGGGGAGAGCTTTGAAAGAAGAGCAAGATATCTTGTAAATAAAGTTACTGCATAGCTGGGTAGTTCAAGAGCTCCTGTTCACAAGTGTTTTAATGTAAAAACATGAATTTTAAGGAAACTTAAATTCCCATTTTGTTGTCACTGGTCCTAAGGAGTCTGGAGACAATTAGTGTGGATTAAGGTATGATTTTAACATAAATCAGTAGAACACCTGCCCTTTAAGATCCTTGAAGGGAGTGGGTAGTAAAAAATTAAAATAGAAGTGGTTCAGTAAGGAAAAAAATAATGTCCATAGTATCTTAGGTTTGATGTCATTTCCCTACAGTCATTAAGGTGGTTTTTTTTCTTCTTTTATTTATTTCTGAAATGAGAGTTAAAGAGAGGTTTATTTGCAAATAAATAATTATGGGGAATAAAGCTGGCCACTGTTTTCCACTCCTGAGTGTCCCATCAAGGGCTGCTTGAGCTGCAGCAGTCCCTGGTTTATGACACTGCTAATTTAAGTCCTTTTAAGTTTCTAATTAATATAATAAAACCTAAGGGGGAAGAGGACTTTTTCTTGGTTAACATCACCAGAGTGGAAGTTTTCTGTGGCTGTATTTGTTGTGTTTACTTCTTAGTACTTATTTTGTGGGGCTGTTTTCCAAAACTGGGAACTATCCTACACTGCTTCATATTAGTGCAGTAAATGGGACATTCAGCCCAGAATTACTTTTCAGAAAATGTGGATTCTTAGGAAAAAAGACAAAGAAGTGATGTGTACACTTGGAGTTGGTATTTGCTTCAAGACCACTGGGCTTGTGTCTGCTGCTGAATCCTCTAGGAATTTTTCCAGTCATAATTTAACATATTGAAAATTTCTGCAATTTTATATCTTGCACTGGTGACTTTCCTGATATACTGGCTGAAAAAAAAAAAAAGGGTTATTGTGGAATAGCTTGGACTGGCAAAAATAAGTTGAAAATGCCATGCTAGAATGAGATTCATACCTGCCTCATGTAGTGACCTCCAGAAATAAGGAAAAATTAGGAAGGAAACTGGCAAAAAGCCCATTGCTCCTTCTTCAGTGGGCTGGAGTCACATCCTTTTGCAAGCAGATTTCATGTGAAAGCTAGAAACAAATGAACCTGCTTGTGCCAGCACAAAATCATGGATTAAATCAACAAATAGACATGAGAAAAGATTTTTAAAAATCAAAATATTTATAACAGGCCTCATTAAGAGAAGGTAATTTGGTCTTGTCCATGTTTGAGCTTGCAGCATTTCTTTTCCGCAGAGGACTTTATGGAGGGAGGTGAGAAGTAATGTTAATTTTTTTGTTCTAACATGAGCCCTTGGTTCTAGATATTAATGTCAGCAACAGATAATTTTCACCCAGGGCTTTTCCTGTTTGTTTTATTGGGAGTTACAGAATCCCAGAATCACTGAGGTTGGGAAACCCCTCCAGGATCATCGAGTCCAACCTGTGGCCAGTTCTCACCAGTGCACTAAGTGCCATATCCAGCAGTTTCTTGGACATCTCCAGCAATAGAGACTCCACACTTCCCTGAGCAACCCATTCCAATGTTTAAAAACCCTTTTCAGGAAGAAATTCCTCCAATTCACTGTAAATTTTCCAGCAGAGATTCAACCTGAGGGTGGCTGTCACCTTTTCCTTTTGCTCTTGTACAATTTGTGGCTTGCAGCAAAAAGAAAATAACGTCTGAATTTTGTAGACCCTGCAAATACCAGCATTGCTGGAAGTCAGGATGAAAAATGTTCTTTTGTGTAGTCAGAGCCTGATTTTCTGTGTTGTTTGTAGCTGGTGGTCATTGCCTACGATGATGGGGACCCAGTGAAGTTCAACACCACCATGGTGGAAATTGTGGTGCTGCAGCCCTCAGTCATTCCACGCTTCACACAGGATGAATACAGGTAAAGAGTTCATTCTTTCACCCTAAAACTGGTTTTTTTAAAGTCAAAATAAAGTCCTGCATGAAGGCTTGTCTGAAATAAAGCTACGAAAATACTCATGGTAGAATTTTACTGTCTGAGCAGGTTGTCCCCAGTTAGAAAGATCTGGGCTGGTGGTGATGGTGAGGGAAGGTTTGCTTGAAGTTTTTTCCCTCAGAAGTTGTTGAAAATATCAGTCATTTGGATAAATAAATCTCATGCCCTGGAACTGGGACTGGGATCACCAGGGCTCCAAGTTAAATTTCCTGGAGTGTGTTTTGACCATTTCCACCGTTTTTGTGAGGCATTTCTTGATCTTCTACACCTTCTTCTACCATTTGTGTGAGGCATGAGAGAACTCAAACTCGACCTCTTCAATCTTAGAAGTGCAGGTGATGGTTATTATCACCACAGAGACATGATTTTGTAAATTTACCCTCTGACAATTCAATATCATCAACCTCAGTGTCTTAAAATTGGTCAAAAGCAAACCAAAAAGCGGAGCACAGGCTGATTAGTTTGTGAAGTTTTGTAACAGAGAATGTGCTCATGAATTTGGCATCTGTACAATAATAGGAAGTGATAAGATCAGGGCAAGCAGCTTCAATATATCAAGAAGTTGCAATGTGTTCTCTCTATGCCATTGCAGTGGCATAATCAGCAGCAGAATGTAGCAGGGCTTGTACAGCTATTTCCATATCCAAGGACTGCAGGGAATCAGAAAGCAGAAATTGAACATAAATTGTCTTCAGAAAGCCCTAAAGGATGGGCTTGCTCAGCTATTTAAAGAGTTTAGACAAAAACTCGTTATCTGCACTCTATTTGTCCTCATGATTGGAGTATTAGCATATTTCTCACTTATAGAAGTGAAAAATAGCAAAAACATGCCTCTCTTCTCCTAATTCTGTATTTAACTTGGAACAAATGTGAAATCTGAAGGACCAGAGCAAAATTACAAACTTTGCATTTAATAATTATCCTTTGCTGAAGGACTATTTGAGAGAGAGAAATTGGTCCTGCTGCTCCCTACAGTTCCTTGGGTATCTCCAGAGTTACGCAGTGTTTGCTGCATTACTTTGGGTAATGTAGCAAATAAAAACGTCCATTTGTGACTGGAATTTCAGATCAGGGCAGGCAGGTGTGGAGCAGGTCCAGAGAGGGCCCAGAAATTGCTGAGGGGACTGGAGCAGCTTCCCTCTGGAGCCAGGCTGGGAGAGCTGGGGCTGCTCAGCCTGGAGAAGGGAAGGGTGTGTGGAGACCTCCCAGCTCCTTCCAGGGCCTGAAGGGATACAGGGAAGCTGGAGAGGGACTCTGCATCGGGAATTAGGATGACAGGACACAGGGAATGGGTTCAGACTGCCAGAGGGCAGGGATAGGTGGGATATTGGGCAGGAATTGTTCCCTGGGAGGGTGGGCAGGCCCTGGCACAGGGTGCCCAGAGCAGCTGTGGCTGCCCCTGGATCCCTGACAGTGCCCAAGGCCAGGCTGGACTTTGGGGCTTGGAGCAGCCTGGGATGGTGGAAGGTGTCCCTGCCCATGGCAGGGGTGGCACTGGATGGGCTTTAAGGTCCCCTCCAGCCCAAGCCACTCTGGGATTGTGGGATTCCTGAGCCTGTCTTGAACTCCAGTTTTATCCCAGGAGCTGGGAATGTTATTTCACTACAGTGAAGAACTCCTGCAGTAAGAAGTGACTTGTAGCCCATAATACCTTTTGATGACAACACCTGAATAACCCAGGTTATCTTTGTGTCCCTGTGAATTCTTCAGGATTATCTGGACAGTCTGGTTTTGCCTTTCCAAAGCACAGGTCCCTTCCTGGGAAATTCTTTGCACAGTGTTAAGAAGCTCTTAAAATCTTTAGGGGACAACAAAGACAGTTATTTATTTTCCTCTATATCAAAAATTAAATTAAAACAATCCTGGAAGTTTCTGATTCAGCTCTGAGACTCTCAAAAATTCAGGAGCAGGACTAGTGCTGACTCCTGAGGTTTTCATAGATTGCCACAGTCTGCAAGCTGTGCCTTGTGTTTGGTTTGTTGGCAATGATGAAAGCTGGAACTGGCAGGTGTCACAGGACCTCATTTTCCAGTCACATGAGATATCTTTAGGGTGAAAGGCAGCACAGAGCTTGGAAAACGAAAAACTGTTGTGGATGTGGATGCTCAAATTTCAGATGGATTGAGAATTAGTGGCTGTAGAGTGGATTAGTATTGATCTTTGCTTGTCTAGTTATCATAATCTGGATGATTCCAGCGCTGTTCTCGAGCTGGTTTACAAACTTCCTTCCTGTGTATTTAGGGAAAGGTCACAGTTGAACAGTTTAACAGAACAAAGCTGCAGCCTGTGCTACAAAGTCAAAAATAAATACAAAATAGAGAGAGAGAGCAGATGGGATGAGCAGAAAGGGAGATGAAAGTGCCTCTCTGCCTTGAACTGAGCTGCAGAGCCTGGCAGCTCTGCCAGAACACCAGCACTGCTTGGAGCCCTCTTCACACCCAGGGAGACTTTGATTGATCATTATCTGTGCCTCAGAGTGACTTCCAGAGGAGACACCAGTCAAGTGGATGAAGGCAGACTGGTATTTATTCACTGGCTCTCCCTCTGCATTATTGCATCATTTGGGGCAAATTAATTGGTCTCTTCCCTCCTACTTTCTTTGTTGGATTGTAAATTTTTCTGGAGACTTCTAAGCACTGCTGTGCTCTCTATATTGAACAGCAAAGGGCAGCTGAGGGCTCTGAGATCAAGAAAATATAGAATAGGGCAATTGGTTTACAATAAGGCAGGGGGGGAAGTATAGTTCCCCCTTCATAATGACTGTGAGAGATCCCCCCTAAAGTCCATCAGAGGGGATCTTCTGCATCCTTGGCTCCTCTGGAGGGGACTGCCAAGAGGAAGCCGGGTGAGATTTGGGATGTTTCTCATCCTGGCATTCACTCACTCTTAGAAGCAGAGCAGCAGCAGGGCAATCTTCTCACTCTCTTCAACTGCCTGGAAAAACAGTTGGAGCCAGGGGGGTCGGGCTGTGCTGCCAGGGAACAGGGACAGGACAAGGGGAAACGGCCTCAAGCTGTGCCAGGGGAGGCTCAGCTTGGACACCAGGAGGAATTTCTCCATGGCAAGGGAGCTCCTCCATGGCAAGGGAGCTCAGGCCTTGGCAGGAGCTGTCCACAGCAAGGGTGGAGTCCCCATCCTTGGGAGAGGTCAAAGCAGGTGTGTGGATGTGGCACGTGGGAACGTGGTTAGTGGGGAACAGGGCGCTGCTGGGTTCCCAGTTGGACACGATGGCCTTTGGGGGCTTTTCCAACCCTGATGACTCTGTGGTCAGGCCTGGATGGTCCCAGTGCTCCAGCTGGATCTTCCCTGTGGAGCCCAGGAGCCCAGCTGCATTAACCATGTGAGTCCTTGTCTGTCCTTGCCACGGATGTTAAGGATGACTCGGAGAGAGCTGATGGTAGCAGGGCCTGACAAACAAAGCATTTTCCAAGCCAGGCATTGTTCTACAAAACCACAGTGTGGAGAAAAGAGGCAAAAATCCCAAAGAATCAAAGTGCTGGAGCATTGGAGATGGCTCGGCCACCTCAGACCTCAGCTGACCTTTGGTGCCAGGGAAGGACACGGCTGGTGCTGCTTTTGTCACCACATCTCCCTCAGGGTGTAGGCTCTCAGTCAGATTCCACTGGTTTTCTACAGAACTGATGGAAGACATGGAAACTTCAGTGTCTCCAGCCCATGTGACAGCCTGGAGAGCTTGGAGCTTGGGTTGGTGGGGACAGAGACACTTTCTACATCCCTGCCCCAAACAGGGTGAGACAATTCACACAATTTATTAAAGTTTTTAATGCTAGCTTTGATCTCATCCTGCTATTTGCCAGCAAAATGATCTCTGGATAAAGAATCATGGAATTCCAGAGTGGTTTGGTTTTGGGAAGGACCTTAAAGTCGGTCTCATTCCACCCCTGCCATGGGCAGGGACACCTTCCCCTATCCCAGGGTGCTCCAAGCCCTGTCCAGCATGACTTGGATACTTCCAAGAAGCCACAGCTCCTTTGGACAAGCAAATCAAGAAGGTTAAAACCCAGTAAACAAAATTAATCAATTTTTTGAGAAAATCAAATCTGCCATACAGAGCCCCTTTCCCAAACTCTTCTTTCTTTTGTCCTGACTTCACCCAGATCACCTCTAGATCAAGGATTTGATCCAGAAGTTTCTGTTACTTCACAACAACTTATGGCAGCACTTTCATGTCTTAATTAACAGATATTAATTAGTAGCACTATGAAACAGTGGAGACCAGATGTAACTGAAACCTCAGATGAATATAAAGTGGTGTTTTTAGCAAGCCTGTCCTCTTTATGAGCACGTCCTCAATTTAAAACAGTAAAAGTTGAAAGGGACTTGGGGTCTTTCTGGTCTTGTGTTAATTAATAAATTCCACATCCTCTGCAAGGGGAAGGTCATTGCTCGTAGCAAAGTGCTGCTGGAGCAGGGAGTGGAATGGGAACCGGGAGCAGCGTCATTGCTTCCTAATTAGTGCCTGTGGTCACATTAACCAGGTGTTCAGTCATTCCAGAACAGGAAAAATGGGGAATTTTGCAAACTTACCGCTTCTGTTAGTGTTGCATTACAGCTCCCCAACCTGTCGGAAAAAACGTGTCCAGTTGCCCAGCAATCCGAAGTTTTATGGGGAAATATGGGAAGCTGTGAATTCCAAGCTATAACTCGATGTAAATGTAGTGTGGAATTTTACTTCATTTTATTTCTCTCCCAGCACCAGCACTGCTGTGGAATTGTGTTCTGCCTAAAAAGGGAGATCTGGGGACACGTGGAGCTCGCTCTCCCTTGGTGGAAGAGACGTTGTAATGTTTTCCACCCAATTAAATCCTTCAATAATGGAGTCAAACACCATCCAAGCAAAAGGATTTCACAAAACAAAATAATGGAGCTGTATCAGGAGTCAGTTATTCCAAGATGTTTTCCCC